AGACTTCTTTTTAATTGAGATACGCTAATCATGTTAAATCTTTTAACATCCCAAAATACAAAAACTCTCAAAGCATGTATGGAAAATAAAAGAAGCAAATTTAGTTCCTATAATTAAGTAGAAAATTCTCAGGCGATGTAGATCATATAATCCAACATCCAAATCTTGTAAATTATGTCTCACCGAAAAGTATGAAATCCTAAATTACAAAAATGCTAATCTACTAAAGAAAAAGAATGAGATTGTTTCTAAGTGCAGACAGAAACAAATTTCTCCTTTCTCAATTTGACATTATTATTATTGCTATTATTGCTATTATTGTTATTATTATTATTACTATTATTGCTATTATTATTACTATTATTGCTATTATTATTATTATTATTATTATTATTATTATTATTATTATTATTATTATTATTATTATTATTATTACTATTGCTATTATTATTTGGTGTCGGAACTCATTCCATTGTTTTTTTTTAATTTTGTAATGTTTTTTTAATTGCATTTTTGAACAGTTTTTTCTTGATTTAAATATATGGCTGATGAGTGCCGAAAACAGCATGAAACTTTAAGTATCCTAAAAAAGTTTTTTTTTTCTTATCTAACCTTTTATTTATATATTAATCTATTTTATGATTATTTCACTTTATATTGATCACTCTCAAATCGAAAAAGAGGTGATTATTATCAAATAATCAAAACAACAATATATATATATATATATATATATATATATATATATATATATATATATATATATATATATATATATATATACATATATATATATATATATATATATATATATATATATATATATATATATATATATATATATATATATATATATATATATATGTATATATATATATATATATATATATATATATATATATATATATATATATATATATATATATATATATATGTATATATATATATATATATATATATATATATTTATATATATATATATATATATATATATATATATATATATACATATATATATACATATATATATATATATATATATATATATATATATATATATATATATATATATATATATATATATATATGTATATATATATATTTATATATATATATATATGTATATATATATATATATATATATATATATATATATATATATATATATATATATGTATATGTATATATATATATATATATATATATATATATATATATATATATATATATATATATATATATATATATATATATATATATATATACGGTCAAAACATTTACTTTTTACCATTTCTGAACAAAACAACTTTGTCCAACTAATTGCAGCAAATCATTTGGTGTGTGTATTTAGCACATATTGATGTTATTATATGCTGAATTTCATAGTTTTTACTAGATGCTTTATAAGTATTTCTATGATATTTTTATTGTGACGGTCGTAACCGTGACAATGAAAATTGTAATGAAAATTCTAATTTTAAAAAACAATAAATAAAACAATGCAAAAAAAAATATGAATAATCATAAAAACCATGTTAACTATGTAAAATTATAAACTTTATAACATTATCAAAGTTCTCAATTATGGTTTTTGATAATGAATTCGTTAAATTTAAAATAAGCAACTAAAGGCAGGCTGCTATATTTATTTATACTTTATTACTTTACTAAAGTTTAAATGGTCAATGCTGCCTGTTCCCAACATAAGTTTATAAAATAATTCTTGAAGGAAAATAAAAATATTAATTTCAAAATTGCTTTACAAGCTTTGGTTGCAAACTTTCGCTTTCACTTTTTGGTTTTCTTTGATAACTGTCTTCTTTAATAACTTCCCTTTTTTTTATTTTCCAACAACGCTTTTCTATTTCTTTCTCAATAAGCTTTCGATCTTTCAGCATCTGATTTAGGCATTTAAAATATGTTATTAAATATAACAGCTTCCTTTTGAGATTAATGTTCTGTTATGATTTTTTTTAAAAAAATGCAAAATTTATAATTTAAAAAATCGCAAAATCGAATAAACAAAAATGTTCAAATGCAAACTATAAAAAACGTTTTAACTATAAAAATTTTCTTTATGTTAAAAGTTTTTTTTTTCTCAATAAGTATTAATTTCTTTACATTAATTATTTTTTATTTTATATTTTTTAAGTGATTTATATTTTAAAAAAGCAATATTATGAGTAAACAAACTGCAAATGATTTTTAACTTGGTTTCAATAATAAAATCGTTTGCATTTAAACTTTTTATTTAAATGTCAAGAAATCATTATGGAAAAACAAACATTGCATGATGCTCATAACGTACTTTGTTACTCTTTTTTTAAAAAAAACTAAATTGATGATAAAACTTAAATCAATATCTTTACTTTTACTATATTTTTAGCATTGTGAAGTCTGATACAAAGCCAAAAAAAAACTTCTCGACTTTTTTCTGTGATGATCGTAACACATTAATTTGATATATATTCTTTTAGTAAGGAGTTACATAGTTGGAGTG